GCGTCCTCGGCCCCGCCCCCGTCCCGCCCCGCGCCCCGACGTGCCGGGGCAGCCGGCTGTCTGCGCACTTTCATTGTGTGCGTCCAGCGTGCGCGGTTTCTCTGGTGGGCGCTTTGGCAGTGCGGTGAGTGTCTCGGTCGCCTCCCCCGGCAAAGTTCGGGGCTCTCCCTCGGGAGAGCGGGCGTCTGGAGCCCCAGGGACAGTCTCAGCGCCGAGTGGCCCTACGGGCACCCTCCCCTCGCTGTCGGAGCTGGGGGTGCCCCATTCCCACCCACCACCCATCCTGTGTGTGCTCACGTGTGCCCCAGGTGTGCCCAGGTGTGCATGGCTTTCTCCCGGCCGCGGGCTTGTGGACCGTGTTGGGCTGCGGTGACTGTGGCTTGGCAAGGGGGTCATGGTCTGGGTGGCCAACACCTTACCTTCGACGCTCTGCCAGGCCCAAGGGCTCGGCTCTCCCGGCCTTCTCTCGCAGCTCGCCTCCAGCAGACTCCGCAGTGTTCCATAGTTCCTTCTTGTTGGAGGCGGGCGGGAAAAGCAGCCAGTTCTGGGGTCTTCCTGGTTATCCTGGCTGGTGTTTGTATACATTAGGCCCTAATTGCACCCATAAACACTTAGAGTAAGCACGTGGCGTCTGAGCTATTTACGCTGGCACCCAAATCCCAGGTCGGTAATAATACAGCAGAGTAGTTCTAAACTATACGTTCCTCACTCAGGGGGTTCATCATTTTCTGAAATCTCACATGGATTTTGCTCTCAACTGCCTCTGCTTCAGAGCTGGCTCTCTGTCCTGGAAGGCGGATTGAGTCTGTGTTTGTTCAGCTTTTGCTTGGCTGGGTGGACAGTCAGTGGGGATGCTGTTTTGCCCAGAGAGGGGTCTCTACAGCTGTTTGTTGCAGACCATGAAGCTGCGGAACATAAAGAGCCAAGAGTTGAATTGGTTAGTTGAATATAAGCCCAAATGTCAACTCTTCCATTATCTGTTAAGTCAGGACCTCCTTGTCGTGACCCGGTCCCCATACGGATGATGGGAAAATGGTCCTTTTACCTTCATGCAGCCTCTCAGTGGACACAACACTGGGGCATGGGAGAGGGATAAAGAAAAGAAAGTTATGCACACTGTAGGAGTAAAAGGATTTTAGGGAAACGATGTCAGAAGTGTCCCCTCCCCCCTTGGTAGTATTGTATTGATTCATTATCAGAGTAGTTACACTATCAGAATATTTGTCTGGGCCTATGAAGCAGTTAAGGAGCCCTAGTGGTGCAGTGGTTAAGCGCTCTGCTGCTAACCCAAAGGTTGGCACTTCCAACCCACCAGCTGCTCTTCGGGAGAAAGATATGGCAGTCTCCTTTGGTAAAGATTTGCAGCCTTAGAAACCCTATGGGGCAGTTCTCTGTCCTCCAGCGTCTCTAGAGTCGGAGTCGAGTTGACAGCAGTGGGTTATAAAGCGGCTAACACCAGGTCAGCTTCCCCTAGGGCCTAGAGGCTGCCAGGCTTCTAGAGTCGGAGTCGAGTTGACAGCGGTGGGTTATAAAGCGGCTAACACCAGGTCAGCTTCCCCTAGGGTCTAGAGGCTGCCAGGCTTCTAGAGTCGGAGTCGAGTTGACAGCGGTGGGTTATAAAGCGGCTAACACCAGGTCAGCTTCCTCTAGGGTCTAGAGGCTGTCGGTAGCCCAGGAGACTTGGCCTTGTTCCATCAGGTGTTTTGCTTCTTCCTGGGGTCTGTCTCCAGTTAGACTTTGAATGTTTGAATGGCAAAGTGGAATCTCTTGTTGTCTCGGGATTGGAGGAGCCAGGCTTCAGGACAGATAAACTAAGGTGCAATACCCATTGCCATGGAGTCCATGCCGACTCATAGCGACCCTATAGGACGGAGTGGAAGTGCCCCATAGAGTTTCCAAGGACCACCTGGTGGATGTGAACTACCGCAGCCATAGCTCTTAACCACTACAACCGCTAGGGTTTCAGTAGTACCTGACAGTAGCTACAGTGGATTGCAATAGCTACAGTTAACTAATATTATTAGGTGCTGCCTTCTAAAGGCTTCACTGTCAGAGAGCAAGGTTTAAAGAAACAAAGCCCTAGGCACACACTTTTAACATCTCACTCCGGTCGGGTTGCTGAGGTCCTCAGACCTTCCTTTTCCTGCGAGAGAGAGGCTATGGCTCTGTTTTTGGTCTGCTTTGATGAGTTGGGCCTCACCTGGGCCTTCTCTTCCTCTCAGGCCCTCAGGCCCTTGCTCGCTGAGGCTGGTTTCCCTCCCAGGTGCCCCCATCACCACCTAGCCTGTCCCCCACGCAGGGAGGAGTGGGGAGGAAGGCTTGAGGAAGAACGGGCCCCTCCTCCATTCCTGTTCTCCAGAAACCAAAGCAATTTCTTCTCAGTATTTTTTTTTTTAGATAAACATTTGAAATTGTTTTTATTTTTCTTACTTTGCAGAGGACATTTAGGAGCCAGTGACTCACACCACCAAGACATTTCTCTTCTAACCGTCCATATGTGGACGTCAGCTCCCTTTTCAGTTGAGGGTATAGTCTCAGCTATGGAAAAGAATGGAAGCACAACAGTGTTTTCTGAGTTCTGTCTTCCTCTGCTCCTCTGTTCACGTTATTCTAGGGTGGTTTTTTCTCTTCACTTCTGACCTGCAGAGCTCCCTTGCTCCAGTGAGAAGCGTCACTTTCCCTGAAGTCTTTGACTTCCTGCTGGGTCTCTGGTCACTCCAGGCTTACTTGGGTCCTGGGTCTGAAAGCCCTGAGCTGATTGGGCTGCTGCCCATGCCCTCGCGAGCCTCTGTTCCTGGGAGAGGGAGCTTTTGATATGACTGCTTACTGCAAGAGCTTGGTTATTATCACACAACATTATTGTAAAGAAAACGTTGAAACAAAAGCTGAAGTGTTAAAAGCAGAGACTTAGAAACCCTGACATCACAGTGGGGAGACATCCGTATGATTGGAGGGCAGTGCCATGCTCAGCCTCTTCGTTTATGCTGCTGATAAATGAATTAGCCCGATGGCCCCATTCTCAGGGGAAGCTGGGGTGTGTGGTCTCCTGAGGGAGGTTGACCTGTGCAGGAGATGGGTTTTCCCGCTCTGTACATGCTGCAGGCCTGGCTTAGGTGCAGGTAGACGAATGTTCGAGACCCAGTGGTGTGGACTACGTAACATTTTGTGGCATGTCTGCTGGTCAGTGGAGCGAGTCTAGTTTTCTTTTGACTTAAAAAAGTGAGGAGTAGTAGAGAGCTTACATCAGAGGGCTGTGAGGTTTGGGGAAGACCAAGTATTAGCCTTGCATGAAGAGAATGACTCCATGAGTTGTCTAAGAAGAGGAAGAGGCCCATGGGTGGTGCACATAGTGGGAGTTTGAACTCACCCAGTGGCATAGCAAAGACCTGACGATCTGCTTCCGTAAAGAATACAGCCAAGAAAACCCTGTGGAGCACTTCCGTGACACATGGGGTCGTCATGAGTCAGAATCAACTCGAACGCAACAGGTTTGGTTTTTCTGGTTTAATAAGAGGGATAAATAATTTTCGTAACCTTTGAAGGAATCAGTGTCTCTGTCGAATGTGGCCCACATGCAGACGGGTCACGAGCCGTGTCTTGCCGAGGTGCTTGGAATCCCGGGTAGTTGCGCCCTCTGTGACGGTCACCCTCCCATGGTCTGCTTCAGCCATATAGCTAAATAAATAGGCCGTCCCAGGGGCTCCTGACACACAGGTGACACCCTTGGCCACGTGTTGAGTGCTGAAACTTGTTTTCAACACCACGAGTTGTTTTCAATTAGATTGGTGGCTTAGCAGTGGAGTGGGGGTCCCCAGGGAGGTCTCACGCCCTCCTCACCCCCAACTGCAGAAAACTCATTTGGCCTGTGATGCAACCGCTGTAAAACCAGCTCAGATTCTACAAAAACATTTCCTTAGAGTTGTTAAATTTGTCCTTGTGTGTGTGTGTGAGTATATAACGAGAGCAGCTGTGAGAGAGCCGTGAAGGCCTCAGATGCTCGCTTTCCTACTCCGAACATTTCCTTGTTAGAATAATTTCCTACCCGGAACACTTGTGAAGTCAGCATGTCTGCAGCCCAGGCTCGCTTGCCCGTTCCCCAAAGTCCAGGGGTGAAGCCGAATGCGCTGTCCACCAATGGCTCAACTCATAAAGGCAGGCGCTTGTTAAATCTATTTGTTTTTATTATAGACATCGATCTGCCAGTTGCAATAATGCATTTATGGACATTTTTCTGCAAGCACAGTGCTGGTGGCAGCTTTTACTGACAAATTGAGTCATATGGATGGGGGTTTTGAAAACTCCCCCTTTGTTGACAGATTGGACGATTCCAGTGCTGGATGTTTGGAAGATACCTAGTAGGACAAAGAGGGGCCAAATCTCAGGGCAAGATACGGGATGGGGCATTAAAATACTGACGTTTAATGAACAACTAGGAGTTTTTAAGTGTTAGCTGCATTTACTTCCCAGTCAGAGGGACTAGACATGGTGACCAAGGAGGCCGCCTTCCGATTCCCGCGCTTCTGCTGCTGTTTTCAGTCCCTGGGTGGTGAGAACGGTTAACACGCTCGGCTGCTAACTGAAAGGTTGGCGGTTTGAGTCCACCCAGAGGTGCCTCGGAAGGAAGGCCTGGTGATGTACTTCTGAAAGATCACAAACGTGACAACCCTATGGAACACATCTCCTCTGACACACATGGGGTCACCATGAGTCGGAGTTGTCTTGATGGCAACTGCCTTGGCTTTTTTCTCTTTGGAAAGCCCTTAGAATCAGCTGAGAGGTGGTGCTCCCCAGCTGAGACAGGCCTCGCTGTTCTCCTTCCAGAAGATTCCTGTCACAGCGGGTGTGATTCTAAGTGCCCCTCCGCGCAGGTCCCTGTGTGGATTGGTAACTCCTTAGAGATGTGTGAATCTCTTTAAAGTTCAAAGCTAACGTGTTACCATAGCGTGATAGTTTTCGGTTTTGTGGCTGTGAGAACAGATGCAGATGTTGCCAGAACTTTGGCACTGGTTTTGTAAAGAACCGTTTAGCGTGGACAGCCATGTTAGAGTCCACATGTGTTTCCTCTTGAGTTGCATGTGTTGCTTTACTCCCCGGATAAAAGCCTTTTCATGGCCTCCAGTGAGG